AATTTTCATATAAGCCAAATAGTTCTAGATCTATAACCTGATGTTAGTTGATCTGATAAAGTTAACCTTGATTTTTCCTTAAAAACAATGACGTTAAGGGCCTCCCCGGTGGTGCAGCGGTTGAGCGCTAGGTTGCGAAGCTGCCCGCGGATCTCTGTAGCACCGGTTCGATCCCCGGCTGCTCCCTGGCCACCAGCGGAGGGTCCCACATGGCGCGCAGACCTCTCCTGCCGCCCGCTGCTCCCCTCAGCAGTGTACGTCGGTCCTTCTGCCTGCTCTGCTCCCCGCTCTGGCTCTGGTGAATTCTCTCACCCTCCCGCGCTTCTGACTGTACCCAGTGCATGTATAAACAAAATAAACAAACAAATAAAATAAATAAATAAAACATGCCTCTATAAAATAAATAATTAAATAAAATTTAAAAAATTAAGTTAAAATGCAACATCCTCTGCAAAAAAACAACGATTCACTAGTTATGTCCATCTAAAGACAGAACAATCAATCATAAATTTTTATTTTTATTCTTTTGGGAGGCCCCTAGAACAGGTTGAGAGAGCAAACCTGGCACTAAGAAGAAATAAGTGTAGAAGTTTGGAGAAAGACAGTGGAACTTAAAGTGAGGAGTTGGAAAAATCCAAAAAGAAAGAGCTGTTTGATCTGAGGCAATAAAGTGAATTATAACATTAAAGCACATGGGCTCAAGATAATAACTCATGAGAAAATGGACTCATTACCAAGAGGGACCCAGAATGTGAATACTAAGACAATACATGTGTGTGATTGACAGAGTCAATGCATGAATTAAAACCTGTCTTTGCTTGTTTTGGTGAATAGATATTCACCATTGCTATGTAACCATAACTAGTTCTAAAATGTGAATATTTTATGAAGAAGAAAAGAAAGTTTTAATTTTAATTGAAATTTCAGGATGAACTGAGATCAGAATTCTCTCATTGCCCATCTAGGACTGCAGGTTTTCAGAAATTTAATCTCATTTGGTAATTTAATTTTTTTTCCGGGACCCAAAATTTAATATGAAAGATCAAGTAAGCACATTGTCCTAGGATATATGAGAAATTGTCTAAATACCTTTAAAAATTCCATGTCTACCTATGAGAAATCTAATTTAATTTATTTACCTTAAAGAAAGATTAAATTATTGCAGAGCTCTCTGTAATTCAAACCACCTGTTAAAAATGTTAAGTACAGTTTTAACAAGAAAAAGCTTTCACTAATGTGAAAGTATAATTGATCCATAGATTTAAGCTATCAGAAAATATTGTACATCTTTCACTTAGCCCAATTTCAGTCCATCAGTTATTTTAGAACAGGCATTCATGTTTGATTTATCTACCATCATGATTTAGTAATGAATCAAATATGAAAATCAAGAAAAGATTGGAAAACAACTTGCTGGTTCAAGTATCCACTCTTTCCCCCATACTAAAATGTTAGCCTTGATCAAAATTAGTGGAGAAATTTATCTTCTTTCTCTCTTCCTTTTATTCACTCATTCACAAATTTCATCTGATAATTCTTCCACTGAAATAGTATAGTGGTAATCCCTTAGAGACATATTTGAGTGGGAATGTGAACACAGATGTTTATCTTGTTTCCATGACCATTGGTTATTCTAAGAAAGTTAAAAGGTTACAATCTTTAATTATCTTTACATAGTCCCCAATCTCTGTTATTTCATCTCACTAAGTGTCAAATATTTATGGTAATAGTTTCAATATGTTTTAAGGGCATTATGGATATAGGGTACTTGAGTTAAGCATACATGTTTTCAAAATACCACAAGCAGTCTTGAATTAACTGTGTAATCTCTCTGTATCATTTCATAATATTTAATATGGTGTGCTTGCAATATAAAGATCACTTCTGAATATCTCTATAGTTCCAGGTTCAGAGTGAGATGTAGTTAGAGAAAAGCTAAAAGTTGTAGTAATGCCTTTAAGGTATAGAAGTCATTTAGACTGTTACAGAAAATAGTTGTTCTCCTAAGGAGAATAGCTTCCAGAATATTGAATACAGGACTAACCAAGCATAAAGTCTTTTATTTTTGGTCTTCTGTGCACTTGGGAAATGGAAGCATTTACTTTAGGTGTAAAGTCTTTGTTAAACAAATCATTTCTGAAGGAAATGAAGAAGACCACATACTAAAGAGGGAAACTGTGAAGAATGTTTGAGCTCTAGGGCACCAAAATTCGTAGTGTGAAACCCATTATTCTACTATGATTAAGGCAGTTCATTACTAATTACAGAGGCATGTTCTTAGGTGATCAATGAAGGTTAAAGAGTTCTGTTACTTTTTCCTTTCTCGAATTAGCTTCCTAATTAATAAAAGTGAATTTTAAAATGGCCTTCTGAGGAATAGCTGTGTTATCTATTGTTTATGGAATAATCTTGCAGTCATGCTTGATTTTAAGCAATGAAACAGACATGAGTTATTTGCATAGTGAAATATTAGTTGCTTTTTGGTTATTTTTCTACCTTTTCTCTTTTATGCATTCTCTTTCAGTTCTATTATATTAATGATAAGTGACTTTAGACAAAAACAACACTATTTTTAAAATCTCTGTTATTTGAAAAGAGTCGATTGTGACCCAGATTAGTTTAAGATATACAGACAATATATAGCATGAACATACAGAGTTGCATCTTCACTTGAAAATAAAATATTTTTAATAGCAATGTGATTTTTGAGGGACTTAATTATAAACTGCATTAATATATTGAAATTTCAAATAGGTTTCATTTAAAATTTTAAATTAATATTTCATTAAGACTGTGTTTTTAAATATAATGAATAATCTTGTTAAGGGAAACAAAAAAGTCAGTCTAAACAACTACACCAAAAATTTTTATTTTGTTTACTCATTGCAAATGCTTTAAGTTAAAAATTTTCCTGCAAAATTCACACATTGAAGTTCTAATCCTCAGAATGGTGCCTTATTTGGAGAAAGTTTCTCTACAGAGATAATCAACTAAGTCATTATCGTGGCCCCTAGTCCAATAGGACTGGTGTCTTCTAAAAAGGGTAAACCAAGACACAGAAACATACATATAAAGGAAAGACAATGTTAAGATCATTGGAGGACAACTGTCTACAAGTCAAACACTGATGCCTGGACAGATCCTCCCCTCACCATCTTCAGAAGAACCAATCCAGGGGACACCTTAATCTGGGATTCTAGCCTCCAGAACTGTGGGATTATAAATTCTGGTTTTGGTACTTTGTTTATGGCAACCTTAGCAAACTTATAAAGAAGTATATTTACTAAGTGATATGTTTGCAAATCAAAATGTTTTAAAAATGCCCCTTGCTGGTTAAGTGTGCTGTTTATAACTAATTTATTTTAGAAATCATAGTACAAGCACTAAGATTATTGGGTCTAGAATCCAACACATCTTTTTTTCTAGCTATGAAACACTGGGCAATTTGTCCAACTTCCCTTTGCCTCAAATTCATCATTTATAAAATGGAAATACTAGTAATTCCTAATTTATGAGTGTATTTGTAGGAATTATATAAAGTGCTGATATAAGCTCATGGCCTCCAGCAAACTCGCTCTAAATTTTAGTGATCCTAAAGGTGACAATTTATCAATATAAATTACTATTGACGTTTTAGCCATCATGAGAGATAACCAGGGGTCTGCGGTATTTATAAAAGTGAAGATTTGCAGATATCTTATAGGATAGACATCATCAATAATGGGTATCATGTAAATGTTCTTAAAGCTTTCTTCATTGAATAATGCATATTAACCTTGCATCATCTGCATTTCTCAAGGAAAAAGATAACTTTAGCTAGTTATTGTGATGATGAGATATTTAAGTTTAGAGAGGCAGCTCATACAAAGGTTATATTCCTAGAGATTTACAGTTGAATGAAATCCCACATCTGGATTATAGACTTGCTTCTTGCCTTTTCCTTTATCCTGAATTCCCCACTCCTACTATGCTCATCAGGAAAACTTTCCTAAATCATGTTACTGCTCTGTATAGATCCACTAGCAAACCATCCTTTTTTAATTAATGATTTTTTTCACCACATCTGTATTTACATTTTCATGGATATCAGGTTTGTACTATCTACTCTTTAGACATGTAGGATAAAAGAACAGGGTGGGGGAGGGGGGCTGGCTGTGCTCACACTCTGCAGATGAGTAGTTTTCATATAATTCCCATGTTTGATAACCTGAAATAATGTGATATATTGATTTAAAAAAGTGTTTCCTAGGGGTCCACAGACAAAATTTGTTTTACTAGTTTACATTTGCATAGAAACTGTACTTGTCTTAGTTGTTGAACTTAATTGTCCTATGTTATGATTGATTCATAAAGAATCTGTCTACTCTGCCATATTCTCTGATTCTTATAAATCATGTTTTCTTCTTTATATGTTCAATGGCTAGCATGAGTCAGGTACAGTATAAATAAAATATTCTAAAAGAGGAAAGGTGAAGAGTAGGTAACCATGACCACGAAAAACTCAGTATTCATGCAGAACTCTGCTTAGTGAGTGTGTGGGGGGGATGGGGGCGAATTATAGACGAGATTATGGTGAGAGAAGAAAATTTCAGGCAGATGGAAAATCAAGAGCAAAAGCACACATGTGGGGAAAGAAATATGTGCTAAAATTGCCAACAAGTCAATTTGGCCAGAGTCTAGTGTATATGAATATGAATATGAATAAGGTAGAATTTATAAAGGCAAATCCTACTTACATTGTGGATAATCATAAATGCAAGTGTAGTCAATCTTGACCTTAATTGTTACAGCTCTGAACACAGCACTCTGCCATGCTTTATAGCCTCTGGCATAATCTATCAACAGTGTGCAATTTGGAAAATACATGGGAGAAAATTCTACTGATGTCCAGATATATTAACTCAAATTACTGTTTAATCCAACCTGAATATATCTCAATCCATTGAGAGATTTTTTTCTCATTAATTTTGATACACGTATAAATATATAAAGTATCTTACCTTTCCTTTAAGTTATCTTCTCTTAAATGGACAGTAAAGTTGTACCCGGTAGATGCTGATAAATTCATTTATGCACATTGAAACACAGCAAATATGAGACCGATGACCTATAAACAGATAAGATAATAAATGTGATTCATGAGTTTGAAAATATGATTTCCTTACTTTCTAATTCATCTAATTTTCTATAAAATTTGAGTAAAGTAGAATCAGAAAGAGAGATTTGAGCTAAGCTACATGTTACCAAGAAGGTAACAGAGAAAATAAAACTACAGTTCAAGTTAATTGAGGGCACTCAATTAAAAAATAGAACCTCATTATGTGAATTAGAAAAAAATTTCCCTTAAACAACAAAATGTTGTGTAATTCAGACACTTAAAAATACATACTGTATAAAATGCATTGTGTGTGGCTCTATAGAATATACTTTTTGGGATGTCACAGGAAAACACTTTCTGTCAGCATGAATAAGGCTCAAAAACATAATGAAAAAGTTGGAAAAGTATTCTTTTTTTTTTTTTAAGATTTATTTATTTATTTATACAAGCACTGGGTACAGTCAGAAGCTCAGGAGGGTGAGAGAATTCACCAGAGCCAGAGCGGGGAGCAGAGCAGGCAGAAGGACCGAAATACACTGCTGAGGGGAGCAGCAGGCGGCAGGAGAGGTCTGCGTGCCATGTGGGACCCTCCTCCGGTGGCCGGGGAGCAGCCGGGGATCGAATCGGCACTGCAGAGACTGCGGGCAGCTTCGCAACCCAGCGCTCAACTGCTGCGCCACCGGGGAGGCCCTGGAAAAGTATTCTTAAACTTGGGTGTCAATGAAATACATTTTAATGCACCCAAAGCAAAATGTACATTATTTATTGATACATATCTCAATGCCATTTATTGATACCATTCTCAGATGCAGAAATAGAAGCAGCACCCACAAGAACCACATTTGATTTATAATTCTCTACCCTGAGGGCCTCCCTGGTGGCACAAGAGATTAAGACACAACCTATGAAGCTATCTGCAGCCACTACTGCAAGAGTTCAATCCCCAGCCAGGGAGATACCCACATGGCACAGCAGACCTCTCCTGACGCGACTGCTGCTCCCCTCAGCAGTGTATTTCGGTCAATCTGCCTGTTTTGTTCACCACTCTGTCTCTGGTGAATCCTCTCACCCCCCACACCTCATGCCTGTACCCCTCTTCTTGCATGCATAAATAAATAAATCTTAAAAAAAAACAATCTCTACCCAGAAACGAAACCACTACACTGATTTCTAAATCCACACACATTCATTTTACCAGTTGTTTTTTTTTTTTTTTAATTTAGCTAAATGAAAACATGTAATATACTCTCAGTTGTGTCTTGCTTCCTTTAGGCAACATTACCATGGTATGATTCATAAGGCATAAGGCATTGACTATTATTTTGGATAAGTTTTATGCAATAACTCAGTCCATGCAGCAAAGTTTAACCATGTCACTCTGGATAGATATTTGGGTAGTCTTTCTAATAGGCTAACAATATTTTTATCCACCTTTTTTTAATGAACTTACATACTTATTTGTTTGCTATAGGGCCATAAGTGGAATTCTTTAGTAATAGGCATATCTGTTTTCTCAAGAGAGTTTACTGATTAAAAGGCCCACCTGTAGCAAAAAGAGAGTTCCAGTTATCCCACATCCTAGTCAACACTTTTACACCTATTTATCATTTTAGGTGTGATAGTCTAGTGTTATGATTTAAACTCCCATTTCCTGGAGATGAATGAAATTGAGCACCTATCTCATGTTTAAAGGTCATTGCTACATTCTCTGTTGTAAAGTGATACATTTTCTACTAACTTGCCAGCTTTCTCTTGCCCGTTTATAATTTTATTAATATTCTGCCTATAAAATTTTCACAGGATAAATGTGTTGCAAATGTTTCTCCTGTGGTATGGGTTGCTTTTTCACCCCTAAATTTAAATTTGTGTAATTATTACTTCCTCTGCCATACTCACAGCTTTTTATATCCTATTTTATACCACCTGCTTATTTCAATGTCAAAAATATTTCCTAAATATTATCTTTTATTTTTTACATTTAGTCCTAATCCATCAGCAATTAATTTTTATATATGATGCAACATACAGCAAAGATCCATTTATTTGCACTTGGATATACAAATTGACCCAGCATTATTTATGAGAGAACCATCTTTTACTCACCAAAGAATAACTCCTTTACCATAAATCAGGTACAGGTACTCTGTGTTTAAGTCCCTATTTGAATCTCTTTTTAGTTTTACTTGTATATTTAACTATTCATGTGGCAATTTCAGTCTTAATTGCTATATTTTGTACAATAAATTTAGTAGTATAAATTATTCAGCTTTCTCCTCCCATTTCAAGATTAATATGGTTATTCTTGGCTCTCTGAATATAAGTTGTTTATTTTTCAATTTGTGCTAAAATAGAATCTGCTCTGATTTCTCTCTGCAATTCCTATGAATTTATAAATTAACTGTGGGAAACTGATACCTTTACAATTGCAAGTATCCGTGAATAAGATACAGATCCTCTTGTTAATTCTTTCTCTCAAAGAAGATTTCCATTTTTAAGTTTAAGAGACATGTATATATTTTGATAATTTGTTTCTGGATATTTGATATCTGGAATATTTTTGTTACAAGTATATTATATATACATACATATCATATTATATATATATATATACTCAATATCATGCTCCATATTAAATAAATATAACTAATTTTCAGATATTGACTTCTCCCCAGTTACTTTGCTATAGTTACCCATTAATTATCATAATTTGTCTTATGATAATTGTTTCTTTAAAATTGTTACAAGAAAAATCATGTCAGATGTAAAAAATGGCATTTTTATTACTTCCCTCAGAATCCATCCTCTGTTAGAGTGTTTTCCTTATTTTGAGCTTACTTATAATTTAGGAGTGATGTGGAGCATAAGAAGCAAAAAACCACTTCTACCTGTGTTAAATGTTCGCAGTTGATTCAGTGACTCGAACATTCAGAGTCCAACTATCTATGTTCCTCTAGACCTTTTCTTGATCATTGCAACTTGGTGGCAGAAAACCTGCATATTTCCTTAGGGGAAGATGCACATTCTATATCCAGATCTTTGATCAGAAAAAAATTTTCAGCAGAGTCAACCTATGTTATGGTATTGGCCAGAAACATGTAACTTAGAACATCCCAAGTTATCAGAGAACATATAGCTAAAAACATATTATTAGGAGGAATGAACAAGAGAAAAAGATATTTGTAAATTATTTTGGGGTCACCTAATAATTGCTCTAAGGGGAAGTATGTTTTTAAATTTTCATTTCATATAAAATTTTTTATGGTAAATAGACCTGGAAAACCAGTTATTGAATAACTTTCCCAATATCATGCACAAATGAAAATAGATTCTGCAACGATGCAGGGCAGGATTTAAATCTTTCATTCACTTCATTTCATTCATTTAACACATTAGTCTTCAATCACAATTTCTTCTAAGTGTCCTTATCTTTGCATTTTAGGAGGCTTTTGTAGACACTGTATCTGAAATAATTAGCATGATGCTTGGTAAGTGGTGGACATTAATAGGTACATATTATATATAAATATTTTTATGTAATTGAAATTTGGCAAAGGTAACAATGGGGAGATGGGAGACCATGATTAAATCTATATATTTTCTGGAAAAAGTTTATGTATATGTGCACATACATATTTTTGTCTGTCATTCTATAGATCTCATCTATCTCCTAAAACTTGTTCTTGGAGGCTTCATAACCACAGCAGACTTCACCCCATCTTCCACCTCTACTAAATAAAACATGTGCCTTTGCAATGCTATGCATATGGTTCCTCCTTGACTATCTCTGTTCACCTGTATTGTTAATTATATAATGTGAAACAAATTATCTCCAGCCTATGGCAAAGCAAATACTTATGAAATGATTTCAAGATAGTCTGTGAATGATACATCATTCCAAGAAATTTGGAAGCTTTAATTTTTTTCTCACTTATTACTGATGTCATTTATTTCCTCTCCTTCACTGCTTACTTACACTTTGTCTTCCATGTAAAATCATTGTAAAAGGAAAAAAAAAAATCTTTCCTGGAAATTGTATTTTTGAGAGTGTAACCTCTACAATTCCCTTCCTATCTGTAAACTGTACATTCTTGGCTATGAAATATTCAACAAGAACAATTTTGATGCCTTATCTTCTAGAGTCCTCTATTTTACAAAACAGATTGTTTACAACTGTGCTCCCCTTCTGCTTAATGGTTACCCTGGGGGAATGTTGTTGGCTTTGAGATTCAACTGCATATTTTCAACAAATAACTGTGTTGAAGCCAATGAAATCTGATAGCAACAAACATTATTCAGTGATCTCTGAATAGAAGAGGTTCATATTTCTCTTCCCTTTGGGATATGAAGGAAAAGGACACACTGGGATGTGTGAACTGCAGCCACATATAAGCAAATGATTTCAAAAAGTATTGTAGCATTTCATGTTCTATGGAGTCAAATGGGAGCCTTAAACTGTCAAGCTTAGCTGCAGTGGAAATGGGTTTCTCTTTGGGGACCAAGATACACATTCATTTGCTTCCCATTTGGTTTGCTGAAACAGCAGCCATACCCTGGCAGGTGCTGCCTGGGACTGCCAAAAGGAAGAAAGTAGAAATAAATCACATAACTCTATCGGTTCTCAGACCAATAGCAAGAATTAATGTTGTTCCATGAAGACCAAAGTGCTTCCTAGGAGCCTGGGAAAACCAATACATCACTGATGGTGCCAGCTAGTATTTTGTATGAAAACAAAACTTAGTGAGTAGCAAGATGAGAAAGCCCTAGGGGGGAGATACCTGCTAATAAGGAACCAGAGATATCTTGAATACTGGGATTAATAATTTCAACCATGCTGACTTAAGTCTATTATAATAGATATACATTCAGCTCAATGTCATGTTGTCACTTATATATGAGTACTGTGTGCCTACCATGTGCCACAAGTTAGGAACGCAAGACACAACTTCTAATATATAAAAACTTGAAGTTCAGTTTGGAAAATAAAATAGTAAACTGAAAGTTTCCAGAAG